TTACAAAAAGTGGTGATGCGATGCTTTCGAAGTAACGTTAAGCCGAGAGTCCCGATTGCATCGGCATCCGTTGACACCCAATTCTGAAGTTCTTCATTGGTTTACGGTAAATAATTTAAAACTAATCTCTGGTAAAACAAATTGTGTTAGGTTTGCTCTGCTTGATGTTAGAGAGGTTAATACTAATATAAAAAAGAACCAGCTTGTAGAGTAAGTGGATTCTACAAAGTTTCTGTGTATTACTTTACACCCATTTGCCAAAATTAAATTCCAATCCAAAAATTTGAGACCTAATTTAAATCTCAGATCAAGAATACTCTTATGAGTAAGGGCTATTATAAAGCTGATGATTATCTTAATGATCGTATGCATTGACAGAGTGTTTCTTTAATGTAATGGTATTAGACAATAATAATAGATAACAATAAAATGTCAAGTTCACAATAAAACTTACTATATATAGCTATATTCTGAATTATGTAATGGAAGGTGACTTCAGAATTATCTATGAAGTCATTTTTCAACTTGACGACTCTGTATAAAATAATACAGGAACAAAAAACTAGTCCTTGCTTAGTTTCTTGCCGATTCTTCTCAGTTCAAGGTCTCCCGCCGTAGTTTTGCGAACCGATGGCGTCGCTTCTACACACTTCACAAGCGCTTGTAACAGCCTAGACTGAATAAATAATTTTTGATTGATTTGAGTGAATTGAAAACTTAGAAGAAGAATTCTATGATAATGGAATCTGATGTCAAAATCCTTATAATCAAAGGAAACAGAAATTTAATATAAAAGAAATTAATTTCGTTCGAACAAGAAATTTAATTAGAAAAAGCTTATAAAGCTACTAATAAATGCTATCAAAGAAAAAAAAGAATTTGCTTTTACTCGTACCATGTGTAATCGTTAGATATATTCATAGTTAATGTAAATATTTATAAGTTATTGGTTTATCTTTCGCCAACAAGCACTAACAGTTTCCCTATTATAATAACACTGATAATGTCTCAAGTAAAACACTTCGGGTATTTAGAAGTATCGTTTATTCCAACAACGTGTGCACGTCTGTACAGTTCAACACTCTGTCCAAGAATGCCCGAACCAGCCAATAGACCTCCTTTTATACTGCCTACCTCCCATTTGACGCATTGGGAAAACTTCATTTTCTTTTAAAAAGGCAAAGGAGGCATTCCATACAGCCAAATCGTTTGACCATAGATACAAAAAGTACAAATTTATAAATATATATTTTTTTAAAACAAGGAATTAGAAACACGACAAGACTTTGAACCTAACACTATAAACATCGGAGTAAAAAATCAGTTATACATAAATGTTTTTTTTTACTGTAAAAACAAACTCGTTTCATTGTGGAATTTCAATTGACTATTCGAATCCAGTGCCTCAAGTGATCAATATTTTTTGTTCTCAAAAAACATTAAACTTTGAAGGAGCGAAAGCGAGAGTGTCGTTTCGCAGCTAATCCGGGATGATCTCGTTAATTCCCGTTCGTATCCGGCCCGGGCCGCTTTTCGGACGTAACTTCAAATTTTTTCCCATGATAATTTCGTATAACTGTGATAAGTACTTGTGTATCCAATGAAATACGGAGTCCTCGAAGTATCTCGAAGGAGTAAACAAGTTTCAAATTTAGATTACAAATTTACAGAGTACAAAATATTTTTTGCTCTTACAACTGTTATAAGTGTTCCACGATTGAAAATAAAACGGCTTAATTAAAATAAGTCACCTGATCGAATAAGAAGAGAAGTTTCTGAGTATAAATCGTTATTATGATCGCGGAATTAACTGAAAGTCTCTTAATCAACATTCAAAGTTTCTGATGATTGGAATTTCGGAGATTAGTGTATTTATTTGTTGGAAATATCAAAATTAATTGAAACTGAGTATTATCAAAGCGCAAAACCTCTTTATCCAATAAGGAACGCGTATACTAGGAATCGTATTATTTTATATATCTTTAAAGATAAAACCCTTAAAAATGTATATATATATATATATATATATATATAGACAAGTTGTTCCATTATTGGCATTACTTGTGCAATATAGCGGTCCTCTAACTTAATTATCTTTGGATCTATAACTACGAGTATATATTAAGCTAAGCAGTTATTATAAAGTTAAAAGGACAACAAACTATTTTTTTGTATTTTTTACTTTTGGGATTATTTTTGAATTATTATATTAAAATAAACCTCTCTGTTTTTGAACGGAAAAAATATTGACTATAAAATAAAATATTTATTTCCTACAATTACTTGCAGTTCATTAAAACTCTTCGAGTGAGTAACAGTTCCTGGTTTAGTAAGCATCTTTAATGAACACTACGGTCTTAAGCTACCGTGCCGTCGTCTGGTGGAGCATGTGCATATTTATTCACTTGTAAAACTTAAATGCTACAAATCAACTGTAATCGAATCATCTGTCCGCAGATATTAAAAGCTCGAAGCTTAAATCCTTTCAATATTATTTCTTTGAATTGCGAGTCAGAGCTCAAAGTCCACCGATGAGCTGACAACTTGCGAATAGCTCGAAATCTCTAAAGCTATTTGCCATCTGTGTGCGGACCAAGTTCCGAAGTAATCCATTTAAAAGTGTCAGATTAGAGGGGTTCGTCCGGGTGAATTTGCTTAGGCGGGCTTCGTATTCGGTCAGCAATTTATGTCGGTATTCCACAGATGTGGTCGGCAGTGCGCCGGCTTGTGGCACTGTTTATAACAACAAAGGCGGAGTAATTAAACACTTAGACACGAGACTTGGATAATGCGGCCTTAGGTGGGCACACGACTGCGAAGTTTTGCTAGGCCAACAACACTAGGATGATAATAGGCCTCAACAGAGCGTGGGAGTTTCGCGTGCCAGGAACCGACTTGCGTTAGAGTAAGGCTTCGGATACACAAAATCTGTTATCGGCTGTTCCTAGTGCTTTCACTGCCACGGCAAAAATTTCGCCATTCTCTCCCATTTCTGGGGACGTGTTCCCTCCTTCCTACAACCCGGAATCCTTTAAAAGAGGTGTGAAGAAGCAACTCTCAGGTGGGCATGAGGATGGCTAGTAAAAGTAGGTAAAACTGCTGTACCAACAGCTATCTTCGCATCTGGACTCCACAGTCACATAACATCAGGTGGCATAGTCATTGGAGTCGAATCTATCAATAAAAAATCCCCTAAAGTAATCCTGTAGTTAAAGAGGTAGGGTAGAACAGAGTTTTGCTTAATTTGTAGCGCCCGTCTAGTAGTGGTGTGTTCCTGTAGGTCTTGGTCTTGGTTCGACATGCAGATTGCTAATTTGGCACTTATTGTTTCTAACGTTTAAGCTATCTTCGCAACTGGAATCCACTTTAACTAAATGAAGAGGCGGGGGTTATTTACTACGTGTGGCTTTAAAAAATATCAATATTTGTATTGTAAGTATAAGGACAAGAAGGTCGCAAATCAGCTCAATTTTCAAATATCTATTTAAAAATATAATAAAAGCTGATACTGCGTACTTTGTACTGCTATAAAATTAGGTGTTGGTGGTAGCAGGGTAAAATTTTAGGGTTGTAGTTATGTATTTTTGATGCCGAATCATAAAAAAACAAACTTATTTTTGTCCATAAAATATATAAAATTGGGTTGAACCACCCTTTTCACTTAGGGGTACTGATTCTGCACACAATATTTCACAAAAATCGGTGAAGCCCATGCGGAGGAGTTTTGTTACTAACACTGTGACACGATTATATACACAGGTATTAGAAATGGGTAATGAATATGGTATGAATGATGGAAACAAACACTAAAATTCTGCGAATGAGAAATCTAGCTTGCTATGATCCACAGCTTAGAAGTATTTCAAACTATTTTGGTCTAGTAGTATTAGTGGTGAGATGAACTATTCAGACCGAGAGAAGCAATTTACGAGTCAACTAGTGATACAAGTTTTATGACTCCTTGGTAAGACACGCCCAACCAAACCATCACTAATGCAGGATGATGACCACTTTGTACCTTTACGACCACTTGAGCAGCGTTTTTAGAACTGTGAGCGTACACTTTACAATTTTGCTTATTGTAGTGTTCTTCAATCGTGAAAATATTTTTCATCGGAAAAGAGGATATTTCTGTGCTTTTCGCCTTTATTTTATTTTATTTGTGTCTGAGAAATGCCTTACGCATGCTTCAACCACTGGGAGAGCGAGACGAAGGTATGTGGGACTCCTCCCTGCCCACTTCAGCCAGCCCTGAGGCTCGCTGAAGTGAAGAGGGCCACTATAAACCAGACAATACTCCAGCACTGGTCACCCGACACGCAATCTGAGGACTAAGGTCCCCGCATTGCGTGCCGGGATTGCGGGTTAGCCACGGGATACGCAACGCACCGCGGCCCCGCTAGTGATTGTCCGTTGCCAGACCCACCCCAGCGTGTGCTTCCCTGGATTATCAGGGGCACCACACGTCTCAGGAATCGTACAATGTGTCTTGTTCTTATTGCTTGGAGGAGCGAGAGGGGGATCGTAGTTCTCCCCGACCCTTTCCCCTCGCCGTCAATGCAGGGGCAGTCACCCCCTCATCCAGTCGCTCGCGTCTCCCCGTCCCTTCTCCTAGGAGAAGGGAGGGGGACAGCCTAGACTACTCGGACATCCCCCCCTCTGAGGGTGCCCGTCCAGGCAGCAACGAATCAGCAACCACTTTGTCTAGGGCTTTGCCCCTTGTAACCGGAGGGTCGCACCTCCTACTCCCCATGACGTGGCCAGCCGGCCGATCACTGTCTGCGCATATTGCGCATCGGGATGGAGCAGCGCACATCGCCGCCCTGTGTCCCGTCTTCCCATACCTGAAGCACAGTGTGCTCCGGTCCTACTTTGCTGGGCATCTTGCAGCCACATGTCCCCTTCCCATGCATCGGAAGCAGTGCACGCGCCGGCTGAGGACTTTCATCCTTGAGAGGTTCTAACCCACCTACAGTTTCCCCCTTCCGCCACTTTTCTAGCGGCCCATGTGGGACACCGAACCACTGTCCCCCCCCATGCCTCCTGGTCCTGGGTACACTCCCCCTGCCGTCACCGCGCTGTAGGAGCAGCCCCCCTTCATGGCTATTGCCTCTCTGATCTCCTCCAGAGTCAGGGACTCGTCCAGCCCCGAAATTCTTAAGTCCGCGCTTTTCTACGGCCTACTGATTTTGACGTACTCCTCTACAACTTCTCCCATCCGCTTAGCCAGGGCATTAGCCTTCTTCTTGTTATCAGGTCCTGAGACTAGCAAGAGCTTGAACCCTGTCTAGCTGCTCTTCATCACCAGGCCATCTTCTATGCCTACGGACGGTAGCTCAATAGCCGCCCGCGCCATCTCCACTATGTTGGTGTAGGTATAGCCTAACTCCTCCGCCCTATAGGCCTATAATATAAGTGATACTAGACATCAAAATAATAAAAACAAATCAATTGTAACTTTATAAAGTTACAATTGATTTGTTTTTATTATTTTGTCCCACATACCTTCGTCTCGCTCTCCCAGTGGTTGAAGCATGCGTAAGGCATTTCTCAGACACAAATAAAATAAAATAAAGGCGAAAAGCACAGAAATATCCTCTTTTCCGATGAAAAAAATTTTCACGATTGAAGAACACTACAATAAGCAAAATTGTAAAGTGTACGCTCACAGTTCTAAAAAAGCTGCTCAAGTGGTCGTAAAGGTACAAAGTGGTCATCATCCTGCATTAGTGATGGTTTGGTTGGGCGTGTCTTACCAAGGAGTCATAAAACTACATTTTTGTGAAAAAAGGGTGAAAACTTCAGCCAAAGTGTATCAAGATACAGTCTTGGATCATGTTGTGAAACCTTTAAGCAATACACTTTTTAAAAATGAACCGTGGGCTTTCCAACAGGATTCTCCACCTGGTAACAAGGCACGAACTACCCAAGCCTGGCTAGAAACCAACTTCCGGACTTTATAAGAGCTGAACACTGGCCCTCATCTAGCCCAGACCTCAAACTTTTAGTCTTCAAATTATGGTCAGTTTTAGAGGACATGGCCTGCTCTAAACTACGACGACATTGAGTCTCTTAAAAATCTCTGAAGCAAGTAGTAGCGAAATTTCCCTTGGAAACAGTGCGTAAATCCATAGATTCGTGGCCAAACAGATTAAAGCCATGTATTAATTTCGAATTGATTTTTTTTTATTTTTGCTGAGACTTTAAAGGACATTGTTCAGCGTCCATACATAGTTAGCCTAAGAACCAACAGTCATGAAATATTATTTTCTAGGTTCAAAATCGAAAGTAAATGACTGTAAAAACAAAGATTATTGACGGACACTTCTGAGAACTTCAATTATTAGGAAAACTAAAATTTTTTTGAGGTTATGTTTAATATTCAATGAAACATAGGTCAACCTATGAATTTAGTATAAACTCAGTATGAAGTGAATTAATATTACACCTAGTTAATTCATTTTATTCGGTGCGATTTTAAAGAATAGCTATTAGGAAAAACTTGGTTAGGTAGGAATCATGAATAAAATAAAAACTGTACTTTTGCTTCTTATTTACTGACTATTTTTCACATAGTTGTATCATATTGTTTATTGTATTTATTTGTATAACACATGTAGGTATATTGTGTAAATGTGCAGCGTGAATGTGTATCAGGTGTTCTTGAATAATTTGGCAGTATGATCCTCTCAGAATGTTGTGGCACAGGTTCACTAGCACTTGGTAATAAGGGCTCTGCTCTTTGGTAACATCGATGGCATATTAGATAGCCGAAATAGTTAAATTAAAGGAAAAACAATCGCAAATAAACACACACAACAGGTAATCCGAAACGAGAATGCACTTTCCGGTTTATTAAACTACTCTTTGGAATCACAGATCACTTTGTATGGTTTGGAATGCACGAATGCCACAGATTACTACGAATGCAAACTGCATGCACCAGAACCACTGAGTAACGAGTTTTATGCCGGCCCTTCACTTGACAACAGTTTGTCCTTGTCATGCTTAATAAGAAATGAAAAGGACAGACTGATGTCATGTTTTAAAATAGCAAATACGAATAGCCAAGTGAAGTGCCAACATTAGGAAGAAAGAGTGTTTATTTAGAGCGCTGCCATAGATTATACACATAAAATGGTATTTATTGTCTCAGATTATTTTATAACTTTTTAATTTAGCTTACTTAACTGGAAGTGTCCGTCACAATCTAAATACTGATAATTATCGCAAAAAATATACTAAGAATTATCATAAATGCCAAATTGGTGTTGGTTCTTAGGCCAATTTTAACATTGTCCTTTGTATAAATTTCAATAATATTACATTACTTCATTAAAAAAAACATTTTTATTTGTAACAGAACTTATGGCTGGATTAGGTGGACCTTTTATTCTGCATTGCATAGTTTTTTCAGTATTGTAATTGTATATGTTATAATAAAAATAAAGAAAACCTTTTCTTTGCCAATAGCAGAGGACCTGTGATAAAAATAATCATAGTAAACATGGACGTAAAAATAGCGTTAACCTTATTTAAAAAGTCTATGCAATATTTACAATCGTTTGGAAATTACTGGACAATGCAACGAAAAAAACAGTTTCTTATCTATTAGAGTATACCTATTATGTTCTTATATTACGAGGAATTCTTTTATATCGGTGGATCCAAAAAAATACAAGATCTGTCACTACAATCTTCAGCATCGTGTGTAACACGCCTAAGCTACTCCAAAACAATATAAGACACCTCGCTTTAGTCTGTTTCATTATTATGAAAATTTGACGTCGAAAGGATGTGAACGTTCATACGTTTCAAGGGTGTGCCAAGATTAAGAAGGATCAGGGGCACAATGGTTGAACCGAGTCTGATCGATCTCATTTTCCTTTGCACGCTGCTTGTACAAAAGCTCTCCACTCTGGCTTTACCAATTGTTCACTCTGCGCAGTGTTTTTAATCGCTGAACGTTTAACGGTCACCATGTCCTCAATAAACTGTTACAATACAAAAGCGTCTTACAAAAGTCGCGACAACAAAAACTCCCCACGCCAACCTGTTCTTATCTATTCGTAAGAAAATATTCTATTCCCGAAACAGTCTCACTTGACGTTTGTAAGTACTTATTATCGTCTTTTGTTATATTTAAAAGTCTTTCAACGATTCGCGGGATAACTAGAAAAAATATACCCGGCTTGGCAAAAAGGTTTGATTTCATTGAGCAATGAGAATATGATTTATTTATGTGGTGCGTATCTATTCAAATTTTCTTTTATTCTTCCACGATCGCAGACTGAACACGATAATGCACTGCGTCATCGAGCTTCGCAGTACTACATTATCTTTTTAGTGTTCCTTAGTGCTGACAAGGAACCATTATAGTTTCGTCATGTCTCTCTGTCCGTCCCCGGTTTTGCTTGGAGACTATTAGCAGTAGAGAGCTGTAATTTTGCGGAGATATGTATATCTGTCACGCCGAAAAAATGGTAGAATAAAGAAAATTTCTTACTTATTAAAAATTCCTTAAAAAAGAACATTAATACATGACATAGATGAAGTTATTGTAGCCTAAAACCTTGAATTGCAACAAAATCTAAAAAAAAACTATTTATATTTTATAATATATTTATATAAACACAACGCTATCGCGAGTACCAACGGCAACGGCTAGAGGCTCCAGACGGAGAGGAGACTCCCCACATGGAGAGATGCCATCCGCCTGGAATACCTCTCGAGGCACTCGCCAATTCTCAGCTTGAGGTCCCCTTAGAATCGCGGCGTCCCCAAACCCGGTAATACTGTAAAGGTCATCTGCGGCCAACAGCATTCACACTAAAAAAAAGGCGTTATACCGCATCATCCCCTTCTTAGGGGATGATCGCTTCAGATGAAGTTTTTAGTCATTGAGAGTCTGACATAACCTTGCAGTTGGCTGTAGGGTATCCATGAGGGTTTCATACCCGCTCTCCCGCCTGGGAACAAACAAAAAAAAACGTCTTCGCATTTAAAAAAAAAATTAAATACGAAGGATAACGGCGGTTATCCTTCGTATTTAAAAAATAATAATATCGAATTGATTTTGAGTTTGAGACTCAGATTGACTTTGATTTAGGCATTTTAGTTGAGATACATAGGTTGATATTAATTGTTTTTTCTAATTTCCGATGTAGAAAATAAGGACTCCTGCTCAAATATATTGTGGTAACTACAGGCAACTAGAGAACCCTACATTGCGCGTAGCACGACACGCACTTGGCCGGTTTTTTTATGTTAAAAGGGTAGCAAACATAAGCGGCCACCATAGCCTATAGACGCTTGCGGTACCCAAAGTTATCATTCGCCCGTTTTCTACCCTGACCTCATCCCCTACCTAATGGAGCCCTGGAACCTCCCACACAGACAGAAACACAATACCTCTAAATGGTAGCATTATTTTACTGTGCTCTTCTGTAAGGTGGAGGTTACTTCTCCAGACGGGCGCTCCGATTCGAGCCGAAAATCTGCTATGCCCTAGCTCTCTTAACTTCTATCTCATCTATTTAAAATTGTAATTTTATCGTATACACAGACATAGACAGAAACTATTTTGTTTATCCCCATGTTATATGAATTCAATCCCATTCGAATCGATAATGCTATTGAAACACACCAGCAAATAAAGTACTTAACAATATTAGTTTCGCAAAACTTCACCCACGGAGTGTGCGAAAGCCGGAGTTCATGTTTAGAAAGTAGCCTGGCGTCGCTAACGATATACCTACTCTGCGGTACCATCGATTTCAATCAAAAGTACAGATGCGAGATTACTTTTAAAAGGTATCCCATCTATAGAACTTTGAAATGAATAGACGAAAGCACTTGCGTCTAAATCCTGTACTGTAGGAGTGGTTTCTTAATTAGGTATATTTCTTAAATAAAGCCATTTTGAAGGCTCTGGATCCAAAGGAGAAAAACGGAACCTTAATAATAAGAGTCTCACACAAGCCTGGTGCCTGACAGACACAATGACCATTGTCCTTCCGTGATGAACCGTGATAGCTAGACAGTTAAAAGGACAATGGGCAAAACACACCCCGCTCCGCCAACA